GGTTTCATCCCCTCAGTTTGGGGTGAATTCCCTCAGTTTGGGGTGAATTCCCTCAGTTTGAGGTGAATTCCCGCAGTTCGAGGTTTCATTCCCCGAGTTCTGCCTTGAGTTCCCTGAGTTTTGCGTTCAGTTCCTGTCAGTCGCTTGAATTCCCTGAGTTTTGGCGTGAATTCCCTCAGGTTTCAGTTCATTTGTTAATTCAGATTTGAGCTCTCTGTGTTTTGTCTGTAATTCGCTTAAGCTGGGGGCGAATTCCCTCAGTTTGGGGACGACTTCCCTGAACTTGGTGTTGACTCCCTGAATTTTGGGCGAATTTCCTCAGTTTGGGGTTGACTCCCCTCAGTTTCGGGATATTTAGGGGGGGATCCCGTGGATCCCCGGCACGGAGACACCTCGGGATCGGGAATGCTGGGGTCCGTTGCCATGGTTACCTGCCATTTTCGGGTTTTTCTAAGAAAAAAAAATCGGGTTAAATTGGATTATTTTTGGCACAGGAAGTGCAGGATGAGCTTCCTCCTCCTCTTCCTCCTCCTCTTCCTCCCATTCCCGGCGCTTCCCACTCCTCTCCCACGTTTCCCACCCTTCTCCTGTTGCTTCCCACAGCGTCTCGGCCCGGAATTTTAATTTTTTCCCGTGGATTTGCCAGAATTTGGGGAGTTCGGGGCGTTAATTAGGCGTTAATGAGCGGCCTTTAGGAATTGGTCCTTCCCGTCATTTTTCTGGGAATTTGGGAATCGTGGGACTGGGGTCACTCAGAGGCAGCTCCTGGATCAGCTCCCGCTTTTCCCCGGGAATTCCTGGATTTAGCTGCTGGAATCCCGAATATCCCAAAGCCCCTTTGGGTGGGGAAGGGGCTGTTCCCACCGGGAACGCGGCTTGGCCCCAGGGATTCGCTCTGGAATTCTCTGGAATTCCAGCAATGCGGCCGGAGCAGCGGGAGAGCAGCGGGAACAGCGTGTCCGACCCACGGCCTTCGCAGCGTCCGTCCGTCCTTCCTCCCTCCTCTTCCTCCTCCTCCCTCCGCAGTTTTTTTACCCTGAACAGGTGTTTTTCCTCCCAAAAACCGCGTGCCCTGGGAATCAAACTCCCGAAAATCCTCGAGGTTCCATCCCGGATCCATCAGGAGCCCTGACCCCCTCGCCGCAGGGATAATTCCTCCCTCTGCTCCTTGGCTCTGGTGGTGTTTCCCCATTTTTCCCACTTCTCTGGAGTTTTCCAGCTCGTGCCGTGTCCTCCCCACCCTCCTGGCTCAGAAATCTCAGGATTTTTGGGTTTAGGAGCGATTTTTTGGGGGAGGAATCCGGGAAAGGCAGCCCAAGCCGGGCTTGGGACAGGTTGTTTTAACCTGGAAAATCTTCCCAAATCCCCGTTTTTTCGGGAATATTCGGGGGTGCTGCCCCCGGCGCTGCCGCACCTCCGGCGAGGCGTTGCCGCTTTTGGAGCTGCTCATCCCCCCTGGAATGCGGGAACGCCCTGAGCCACCTGCGGAGCTTCCAAAAAAACAACAAAACTCAGCTTCCCAAATCCCACCTTGCCTGGAATTCACCGCGTTATTCCCAAAAATCCCAGCCCGGAACCCAATAAGGGCAAGGAATGAGGAGAATTCCGAGCTCGGGCCTCCCCCGGGAGCGAAATGCGGGCGAAAGCAACAGAAAACATCCGAAAAAACAACAGCAAAAACATTCCAGAGGGAGGGGAAAAACCGGGAACGGGCCGGGATGAGGTGACAGGGATGACAGGGATGGGAGGCAGCACCACCCAAAAAATCCCTCATTTCTGCTCCTTTCCTCAATTTTTATATTTTTTATCTAATTATTACTGATCTTTTTCCCCCAAATTTTGCTCATTTCCTTCAAATCTTCCTCATTTTTCCTGATTTTCAGGTATTTCCCGCAAATATTTTGCTGCTTTCTGCTCCTTTCCTCAATTTTTATATTTTTTCTCAAATTATTACTGATCCTTTTCCCCAAATTTTGCTCATTTTCCCCAAATTTTGCTCATTTCCTTCAAATCTTCCTCATTTTTCCTGATTTTCAGGTATTTCCCACAAATATTTTGCTCATTCCCGCCATTCCTAATCATTTCCCCCTCATTTTTTTGTCCCGTTTCCTGGGTTTTTTTTGCTAACTTCCCGACTTTTTCGACTTTGCTCCAGTCTTTTGGTTATTTTCCCCGATTTTCTGGTCATTTCCCCCATTTTTGGGGAACTTTTCCTGGTTTCTGGTCATTTTTCACAGGTTCTGGATCATTTTCCTTTGGTTTCGGGCCGCTTTTCCTGGAGTTATCATCTCTTTCCCAGTTTTCTGCTCTTTTTCCCAGGTTTTCCTCAGTTTTCCGGAGTTTTTGGGAATTTTTCCCAGGCTCAAATAATTTCCCACACTTTTTTCCTCATTTTCCCTGATTTCTGGGTGACTTTTCCTCATTTTTTCACCACTTTCCCTGTTTTTTTTCCCCGTTTCCCCAGATTTTTGGCCGCTTGTCTTGGATTTTGGGTCATTTTCCTTGTTTTTTCCTCTTTTTCCCCCTTTTTTCCCTCTCCTCTCTCTTCCTGCCGGACAAACGGCGCCTCGTTAATGATGTTAATTATGCAAATGATGTTAATTAACCCCCACTAACGAGCCCTGGGGAACGCCTGGATGGGTTTTTTATTCCCTCTGGAATTTTCTTTTCATTTTTAACGGGAATTTGGGGATGTGGGAGCAAATAATTCCCGCCCTAACGAGGCTTCGTTAACGACCTCAAATCCCAGGATTTTGGGGGGGAAAAGACCCCAAAACCCACCCAGAGTGGGGGGATCATTCCCACCTGGAATTCTCGGGATTCCCACAGGGAGAAACTCCCAAAAAGGACCCAAAAATTAGGAATTCTGGGAGGCTCCCGCAGGAAAATCCTGATTTTGGGGCTTTTTAGGGGATAAATCGTTGTCCCTGAGGATCTCCCGGAAAAAATTCCCGAGGAAACGACCCAGGGCGGAATTCCCAGCGTGTCCAGTGTCCGTAATTAGGGATTTCCCCCTGAAAAAGTTGGGAATGCCCATTGGGATCGCTCGCAAACATATCCCAGCTTCTTCCCGAGGGTTTTTCCATCCCAAAGTCGGGGTTTTAAGGAAAAAAACAGAGGGAAAGAGGGAGGAAAATGAATTTTCCAGCCCTGAAACTCCCAAATTTTCCACGTGGAGGAGGAGGACGACGAGGCAGATTTTCCGCCCTGCTGCCGTTTTCCGGTGCTTTCCGTGGACAGAGGCAAAGAGGGATGAAAAAAGGGATTAAACCCCTTTTCCCATCCCTGAAATCCCAAAATCCTGGGGATAAAATGCATCTTCCAGCCCTGAAATCCCAAATTTTGGGGGTAAAACGCATCTTCCAGCCCTGAAATCCCAAATCTTGGGGGTAAAACGCATCTTCCAGCTTTGAAATCCCAAATTTTGGGCTGGAAAATTCATTTTCCAGCCCTGAAATCCCAAATTTTGGGGGTAAAACGCATCTTCCAGCCCCTGAAATCCCAGATTTTGGGGAGGAACGAGCTGGATTTATGGCAAACTGGAGGGGAGCAGAGGTGGAGGTCGGGACAGACCCCTTTTCCCAACCCCAAAATTCCGGATTCGGGGGGGGTGGGCTCTGTTTTCCCGGATTTCGGAGGGGAGGGTCCCCGCTCCGGCGCTGCTGCTGCTGCTGTTGACACAATGCCTGGAAAACGCTTTTCCAGCGGTTCCGTGGGAAGGAAATTCCAGAGGCCCGTGCGGAATCTCCTTTTTTAGGCATTTTTGGGATGGTTATTTCTGTCCGGAGCCCGCCTGGAGCGGGGTGGGGGGGGGTGTCGATCCAGGCGGGATTTATCCCGGATTCCGCCGCCCCCTCCTGCTTTGGGATCCATCCCTGGCCTTTGATCCATCCCAATCCCTGATTTTTGGGGGGAAACCCCTGGATTTTGGGGCTGTCCCCATCCCGCGGGAGGAGCCAGGCTTCCCTTGGCACAGAAATTCCCAGGATTTGGCGGCGATTCCCACGGTTTTTTTGGGAAGGGAAGGAGAGTTTAGGGGGGGGATTTTCCAGGAGCAGAGGGCTCGGCAGGCTTGGGAAGGGATCCCGGAGCGGGATCCGAGCGGGATCCGTGCGGGATCTGTCCGGGTGACTCAGAGACCGCGCCCGGCCGCGCCCGGCGCTGGCATCTGCCGGCCTGGCACGGCCAAAGTCCCGGCACCGCCCGGAGCCGCCCCAAAAACCGGGATCTTCCCGGGAATCCTGGGACCCAGGGACCCCCCGCGTTTGGGGTGGGTCCCGGTGTTGGAGCGGAGCAGGTTCCTGATCCCAAAATCCGGCCCTAAAAGCGGATTTTGGGGTGCAGCGATGGCAGCTCTACAAATAACTGGAGCTGGGGCTTGTGGGATTGGGCATTCCCAGTGGGATCCGTAACCTGGGATCGTTCCCAGTGGGATCAGTAACCTGGGATCATTCCCAGTGGGATCAGTAACCTGGGATCGTTCCCAGTGGGATCAGTAACCTGGGATCATTCCCAGTGGGATCAGTGGGATCACTCCTGGGATCAATGGGATCACTCCTGGGATTTGTGGGGTCACTCCCAGTTGGGTCACTCCTGGGATCAGTGGGGTCACTCATGGGATCACTCCTGGGATCAGTGGGATCACTCCCAATGGGATCAGTGGGGTCACTCCCGATGGGATCAGTGGGATCACTCCCGGTGGGGTCACTCCTGGATCAGTGGGGTCACTCC